CCCGGAAAATTCAGGGACAGGGAAGAAAGCTAAACAGGAAACTTTGTGGCACGCTGCAAGACAAACACAGGGCCCAGGGGCGCACAGAAAGGCACGCGGAGGGTTTGGGGGCAATTCGAAATGTGAGCTGAGGGTCTCGGGGGGGGCTCCGGAGCGCGGGCAGAGCCTTGGTGCACACCAGAGGGGCCACGCGGCAGGCCGTAATCGACTTCAGCCACAGCAATTAATCTAAAAAGCAGGCGCTACACCTTTCCCTTTTCACATACGCATATCTGGTACAGCGTCTTCCAGTGCGCACGTGTGGTGGGCGGGCGGCAGCACCTCGATGCAGACGGAGGGCAGAAGGGAGCCGGGGCAGCCGCACTGGCGAGGCCCGGAGACCTACGGACAGGGGCGAACGCCCTCGGCCCCTCACCGAGGTGTGAAGCCACGGAGGCAGCAGAGAGGGAGACCGGCTGCGGTACCGCCCTGTGGACACCGGTCTCGCTGCTCACGCAGATGTGCAGACAGCTGACAGACAGACGAGCCTTTTTCTTTTTGCAGCGCGGGTTATGACACCATCTCCCTGTAATTCCCCCTTTTATTCAGTCTGTGTTCAGAGAGTGGCAGTTAAAACTCACTGGGCAGCAACTGAACATTTATTTCTCCCTAGAGTTCTGGACAGTGTTTTAGCAAAGACCATAGCTTGAAAGTGCATGTGTAATCTCTTGTGTTTATCACTTTGTATTGTAGCCCTGTCTTTCCTTCCACCACTCAGGAGGAAAACCCCTCCGTATTTAAAATTTGTTTGAAGGGGATACTAAACAGAGTACACAGCAATCAAATGAAACTGGGGGAAGGGAAACAAAGACCCTGATATAACTCTCCCAAAAGAGGGGAACAGCTCTGGGCATGGCCAAACTACACCCCAAAAAACGGGAAAGGGATGCCACGATACTGCTAAGACCCATGCCCCAAAGCTGCAGAGACCCGAGAAGACCCCTGCACCACCTGAAACACGGTAGTAACATGACGGGGACAGCCCTGCAGACCCCCAAATGCCCCCCACACACACTATGAACAGAGCCCATAGGTGAGGAGGAAAAGCCCCAGCGGCCATCCCGAATGTCCCAGAGACTTCGATCAAGTCCCAGAAAGACCACAGCATCCTGCAAGCCCACGGCAGGCCTCCAGAACAGCTCCACTGAGATGACCAGAGCACCTCGGGGTCCCCAGGCGTGGGGAGGCTGCCTGGCTGGGTCCTTACTGTGTTCCCTAATGAATCTAACGACAGCTGCATTAACTGAGAATAAAGTGCAGCCAAGGGCTAGCTTGTGCTTGTCTTCCTGGGATGGGAACAGGGAGTGCAGGGCGCGGTGCCTCAGGAGCATCCGTCCCCTGCCGGGTCTTTGACGGTCTGTGTCCGCATCCCAGCGGCATGGGGCCATCTACCCTGTTTCCCTGCGGTGTGGGACCAATGGCACACAATTCTCCACGGGGCACCAGGAGGTCAGGGCTGAGGCAGAGGGGGGTAAGAGACATCCAGGATTGAGGGGGAGCCTGCAAGTAGGGATGATGCGGTATAGTTTGGGGGTGGTATCAGGGCATGGTTTGGGGGGGTGGGTTTGGGGGCACTGGGGTTCTGGGATGGGGCTCAGGACAGTGTTGGAATCATTGGTGGTCTTGGGGCGGGGTTTGGGGCTTTTGGTCCAGGCCTGGGGGTGTTTTGAAGTCCTGGGACTTTGTGGGTTGATGGTGGGTTTGGGGCAGGGTTTAGCAGCTGTAAGGGAGTTGGGGGCTGGTTTGAGGGACGTCTGCAGAGCCTTTGGGCAGAGGGCTTTTGCTGGCAGCATGTCAGTGTGGCAGTCCCTTCATAGAGCGGTGCTGCTTTCGTGCAAATGCCAGTGCCTTGGGTGCCTTGTGTGGATGTCAGAGTTCCAGGAGGAGCCACTGGGGACCTCGTGAGTGACCCTCCATGCCTGAGAAGCCATTGGAGAGGAAAATCCTGCACCCTATATTCCTTCAGATCCTCCTGCCTTTCCCCTCCCTCCCTGTGTGCCCCAGACCAGACAGCCCAGCCCACACCTCGCCACACTCCAGCTACACTCACCCCCCACGTGCCTAGCACACGGGTTCTTTCTTCACCAATGAGGCCAAGGCTCAGCATAACCCCAAATTCTCTCCAACTTTACCAACTTCAGTAGTCACGGCACTTAGCTTTTCCTCTGTTTCAAACCTTCCTTGCTCTTTCCTTTCTTCCTAATGCTCCTAGGCTCCTTCTACACTTACGTGCTTCTTTAAAATATCACTAAAATCAACAAATCAGGTCAAGCTGCGTCTCTTCAAGTTGTTGTCTCTTCAAATGTTGAGTCCATTAATTTAACCTATTTTCAGAGTACTTTTCCAAAGCTTTAACTGTGGTTGATGGAACCACTTCTCTTCACATTATGCAAAGCTACATTCATCTATTACTTGAACAGAAACTGTTTCTTCTAGTTTGGACCCCCTTGAGGGCTCCATGCCTCTGGCCGAGCAGTATTGGGGCATACATCCCATTCCCCTGTGGCATGGGACTGAGGGTGCACAGATGTCCCCGCGAGTGCCAGAAGGCCAGAACCAGGTGGCAGAAGGAGGTTGGAGACATCTAGAGTCATCTGGGGCCTGCAGGCAGGGATATGGGTAGTTTCTGGGTGTTGGGGCAGGCTTTTTTACATTAGTTGCCATGACTGAAGTTAAAAGCAAGAGGAAAATATACCCAAATGGAAGAAATAAAAGAAAATGGATCCAGTTTAAAAGCACCTTCATCTTCAAACAAGAGAAACCCTATTTCTATTGATGAGGCTTGATGTATTATTAATAATATTTTAACAGTGATCATGCTTAATAGACCACTGACATATATTGTAACATCTCCATATGGAATATACGTGTGTACATATACATTTTTTTTTTATATATATATATGTCTGTGTGTGTGATACTAAGAGCCACAAGAGCTACAAGACATTAAGAGCTACAAGAAACCAAGTTACTACCTCGTGTAGATGATATTCCAGTGACTGGAGCTACAGAAGATGCGTGAGAGAAGTTTTAAAAGTAAGAGATCAACTTGAATAAGTCACAATTACTGCAACCCCCTTTTAATTACCTGGGTGTTGTAACTGGGGAAACAGGAAGCCAGATACCTAGAAGAAAGATTAAAGTCTCATATGAAATAAAGACTCCTGCTAATCAATCCCAACTTAAAACAGAGTTCAGAGATTTTAATTTCTTATGGCAGCATATCCATGTGTGCATTAGATATCCTCATGTGCTTATATAGTAACTTTGTTATTTCATGCTTTTCTGTAGACATTGAATTTTACTGTATGTTTTTGAAGAACGACAGATGTTACCACAACTGCATTGATAAGCAATGGCTGACAAAGTTATAATGCCACAATGGAGACTCTGAGGCAAGACTGAGGAGCTGAGATACATGGCCTGCCAGAAGAACATTGCTCAGCAGCGACTGCTAGCCTTCAGTTATAGGTACTGTGCATACGTCTCTCATTCTGTCAGACTTGGAGACATTTTCAGCAACTGCAGAAATTTCTCACTTGGTTCTATGCTCTATAGTAATAATTAGGTTTATTAACTGTGTTAGTTATAGACATTTAGCAAACCACATAACGGCCATGCACTGCCATAAAGAACTACAAGCGACTATGCTCAGACCTTTAGCGGTCATCACGAGGCAAGACCAGAGGGGAGAAGGCAAGTGACTCCGGTCCTGATCAGAAAGCTTGAGTGACAGGTAGCTCTGCAATATCCTTGCCGGAGCCGTGAGTAATAACCCATGATTTGCAAACTACCAATGGAAAGGGGGAATGCTGACCCGTAGCCAGCCTTTGGTAGACGACATTGCAAGACACCACACTGTTCCCTCTGTATACCCACATCTACACTTTTTCGTGAAAATCAAGGGCATGGAAACTCTCTTACTCAGCTGTGATCAACAGTTCTGGTCCTATGTTCAGCCTGCCCCCTACTGCAAAGGCCAAGACCGTAGAACAAAAATGTTTCCATTTCCATACCAGCACTGCAGCTTCCCCCACATGTACAAGGTTATGTGCCTAAGGAGAAATCAACAAAGCTTGCCCTCTTATGAACACAAGCAGAACCCACTGCCTCTGCCACTGTGCCCTAAACCTTCATTGCCTTAAGTAACTCAATATGACCTACACAATCCACATCTCAATCTGTACACGTGGTCCAACACCCCAATTAATAGAACACTGCTTCCTCCCCTGTCTCTGGCTGCCTGCCCTCGTTTGAGCTGCTCTTGTGTACTTCTGCTACTAGTTCTGCCCAGCCCATCGGGACACCCCCAACTCCAAGGCTACACTGTGCACTCCCTAATAAATACACCAAGGAGAACACTACTCTTACTTTCTCCATTCTAGCACATATACCACACCATAGCTCTTCCTCTCAGCATGGGAGATTACAGGGAACCATGATTATCTCAGCACTGCTGCAGGCCAAATCACAGGGATCACATGCGTGACAGGGAGAAAAACAGCCAAAGCCTCCCAATGTTCAGTACAAAGATCCCTTCCAGTTTTGAGTCTGCAGTGCTCTACAAGCACTTCCCATGCAAAATCAACACATACTCACACCCATTTTCCATAGAAAACTGTGATACCACATCCTGACACATAAAACGTTTTGCTGATATTTGATCCCTCTCTACGCAGCAGGATTCAAACCTTGATAGTGCAGGGAGGAGTACACTACACATGCCACCCATCTGAAGAGGGGTGAGATGGTCCCATCAGCTTCCTAACGCAGGCATTCTCTGACTCACCCTTCCCTGTGCACTTACACTGCAGGCTCTTAACAACCACCCTCCACAGAAAAACATGGGTATATGTGTTCCCATGTAGCCTAGTCCTCCTGCTCAGATCCTACTTCTTACCTCTGAGGAGCATGCTGCAGCTCCTGCTCGACAGGCAGCTGTAGCTTAGGCCTTGGCACGCAACACAGGGATCACTGCCCACATGGTTGGGTCTGCACCACCACCCAGGCAGAATGATCCAGAAAACCCTGCATCTCAGTAGCATTACTGGCAGGAAGCAAGTATCTCCAAGATGCAGGCTTATGCATTTCATTCACTTTCAGGACACAGAAAAATTCCTCCATGCAGGACGGCACGTGAAACAACTGGAAGGGTACTCAGAGACTCTTTGCCTAGAAACCTACCGCGACTTTACTTTCCCTCCCTCTGCCACCCTACACCTCTGCCACACACACTCCTCAACGCTCCCAGCCCTTTTACATCACAGTCCACTGCCAGCTGCAGCCCAGCCCCGCTCATGCCAGCAGCTGGCTTCATAATCCATCCCCCCACTTGCAAGTGCACTCCCCTGCTTGCCATAAGAGAAGGCAACCTCGAATTGTCCAATATAAGATGACCACTAGCCTGCCAAAGTCGTGCTTTCAAGGGGCGTTGCTGCAAGAAAAGGAGAAAACATGCAAACAGAAACGTATTTTCTCACCACCCCTTGAATGTTGCCAGGGATGGGGCATCCACCACCTCTCTGGGCAGAGAGGCGGGACGGAACCTCTCCTCCTCCACTGTAGCAGAGGGAGGTGGTTCCTCCGCCCCACAGCAGGCCGCAGAGGAGATCCCAACACTCCTCCCCAGCTGGAATGACACGTTTTTCCCCTGAAATTTGCGGGGTCATGACTCAGACTTTCTCCCTGGCGCCCCACGGCCAAACGAGCACTCCCCGGAGCCCAGCGCAGCCGGAGTACCTCTCCACCGCAGTGACCCACGCCGGGACGACGACGACGACGACGACGCGCGCACCC